GGTAAAAGAGTGGCTTTTGGTAGGATTCAGGTTGTCAACCATAAAAGTGGGAGAATTTGACGTGTGAGCAAAATTGGCAATGGGAACAATCATTTTTTTATTTAAAGGACTTTCCCAACAGCACCTAATCAAATCAAAGCCCTCCAAACTCTGTATAAACAATTTATATTCCTTCTGATCTTCATTCCATGTTTTCTGCTACTGTAATTTTAACAGAGCACAAGTTGGAAATTGGACGCAAATATAATAATTTTTGGCAGCTTTTATGTACTGGAGATCATGTTTTTGAAACTAATCTAGTTTTTTGTATTTAATATGGAGACGTATGGTACAGGTGGCGGACATAACTTATGACATTGTGACCGTTATTATTCATTAACGGATACCGTAGTTTCTTCTTGGGTTTAGCCAATTAGCCATTGCCATCTTAATTTTTTAAAATATTCATCAACTATAATATATGTATATCTAACAGAAATCAAAATAACAAAATAAATAAATGAAAAAAAAAATGTAATTTCTTTAACGATGACAATAAATATTGTAAAAATTAATGACAATTTGTAATTTACTTAAAAGAGTAGCATAACATTTTATTTATATATTGTAAAATATATTTATAATAAAATATATTTTACCCTTCTAACTCAATTTGTGAAAGTATTTCTAATTCTATACTTTGACTTGATTTCTTTAAAACGACTCAATGAGTTTTATTTATAACCAATTGTTTTTAGTTGGTGTCTCAATTTCGTTGTTGCTGCTTTATTTTTATTTTTCTTAACTTCACATTTTACCTGGTTTACTTTGACTTNNNGTTTTTCTTTTTAAGATTTCTCATATACTTCACTTATACAACAATTATGCAACGTGCCAAGAAAAAAATAGAGTCAAATTTATTTTTGAACCAAAAACTAATTACAAATTCCAGATGTTGCATCAATTATACATACATGAAATTTCATACATCTTGGTAAAATTGGAGTGTTGCTATTTGTTGCCTCAAATTACTAATTGTTGCCCTATAAAAAATAATAATAATTGGAATTATATCTTTTGTCCTAATAAAAATATTTTACCCAAATTACTATTTTGACCAAATTGCTATTTGTTGCCCCTAAATTAATTAGACCCATTTTTACAAAAATTCACATCTTCACCAATCTCCTTGTTTCTCACTTTTACCAAAATCCATCTTCACCAATCTCCTTGTTTCTCAATTTTACGAAAATCCACATCTTCACTAATCTCCTTCTTCCTCTTCATTAAAAATTAACCCACAAATCTCCACATTATTCTTCATTAATTCACATGTCTAGTAATTCAACATCATCATGAACGTTTGCAAATGAGGTAAATTGTATCAACCCCTAATTATTTTTTTACATTGATTTTCACTCACAAATGAGTTTCTTGATTTTTGAGTGTTTGAGTTATTTTAGGACTTAGATCTTTAAACCCCCATGATATATGTTGCATTAAACCAATGTGATGGGTTGATTAGAACGGTAGAATGAATAAGGTGATAATAGATGTAGGTTAGGGTTTAAGTTCGTTCTGTGAACGCCCTAGGTAAAAACTTGAAAATGGCCTAAACGCCTGCTAGCTAAGCTTACATAAGGCGTAAACGTTTTATTGTCAAGCTACAAGACCCATAAAACGTCTAATTCGAAAGCCTGACTATGAAGTGAAACGTCCAGTTTGTAAGGAGCAACACCTAAGAAACGTAAATACACAAAGCATGGAAGCCTATATATGAAACGCCTAAACGTAAGGTTTATATGAAGTTCAAGCGTCTGAACCAAAATCTTGTTTTCCTGTGGGAATTTGTGGACTTGGAACTCTCATTTGTGCCTTGAGATATTATGAATTTTTGAAAAATTTTGAGAGGTTGAAACCCTTTTATGCCTTAAAATTTGAATCCCTTCACACCTTAAATTTTTGGAAATTTTGTGAAAAATCATGAGTAGTTGATGAGCCTTTAAAACCATGCTTTGGACAGTTGTTGTGTGCCATAAAAATCTATGTTTGGGCCGTTGAACCGTTTTCGTGTCAAACCCAATTTTTTAGCCTTTTTCTAAGCTTTATTTCTTGAACCGAGATTTCCGAGTTTCATTAAAAATTTTATAAACTCCTTAATCATTAATTCTTGATTAAGTGAGAAATTTCAATAATTTTTCGAGTAATGAGATAATTTATTTATGAAAATTATCTCGCTTAATTTTAGGTTTCCAAGGAGTCGAGTCCTCGAACCTACCGTAAGCATTTGCATTTTCGTCACTTCCGAACAGGTGAATGTTGATAAACATTGCCATGTATTTATTCGCTATAATTGCGTGGCTTTATAATCAATGTATGCATGTGAACCGCTAGTCTATGAGGGTCTCCTGCTGATGTTAATGCCGGTGGTTTTCCTATTATGTGCCTAATGAGTATTTCTCCCCGCCGATGGCTAATGCCCGTGGTTTAGCTCCCGTCGATGGGTTATGCCGACGGAAAAGGTGTGTATACATGAGTGTAGGGCAATATAGGAGGTAGACGTAGTGATTTGTGTTAATGTTGTGATTATAATTTCAGTTATTATATCAGATATATTGCATGGTAATTCCTACGGCGAGCTTGTTGTTTGCTCACTCCCACTATTTCTATATTTTTCAAGTTGAGCTGGTGGTCGTGACGAATGACGGACGAATGTGGTCTTTTATTTATCATGAACTATGTTTTGTTTGCTTCCGCTTATTATTTTTCAAAAACTTATGCGTTTGGATGGTTTTGAATTGTCAAACTGGATGACTTATGATACGAGATTGTTATGATTGATTACCGATTATTATCTCGTATGTTGTACTCTGATGTGAAATTTGGGCAATGAGTTCCAAAGGGCTTAAGTGTGGCTTGAGCTAAGTGAAAATGGAATTTTGGTTTTGAGTAATGCCCAGAAAAATGTTTTAAATTGGAAAATGATTTTTCGAAAAAATTTATTCCTATTCTAGAATAATTGAAAAAAATCCTTTAAAAAAAATGGGGTGTTACATGTCCCGTCCAAATATTTGAATGGCACCTGCAAAATATACGATGTTAAAATATACTAGTATATCTCGCAATTGAATTGTACTAGCTTAAATCAAACATAATAATTTCTTACATAATAATTTTTAACATGAAAATTTAATAATTTTAAACATAATAATTTCAATTAGATAATAATTTCTTATTGAGTATAAAAAATAATATAACATTTATAATTATTGTCTACTAACAAAAATATACATTAAATAATAAAATGATTTATATTTATATTTTAAAATAATACTTTTTCCAAAAATAAAAATGAGTTTATAATACTAATTAAATTTTAAATGATGTTGATAATAATTTTAAAAGATAATCAATTCTAATTTATAACATAATAATTTCTAAGTTCTAACATAATAATAACAAATTCTATAAGATAATCAATTTATTTTATAACATAATAATTTCTAAACTCTAACATACTTTCTATAATAAATAAAAATTTGATCAATAATAATAAAAAAATAAAAAAAACAAGTCGGTCGACCAGCGATTGCGGCTGCACACAGCGGCAGTCGACCGATTTGCCCGGCCGACCACGTAGTCGGTCGACCAGCGATTGCGGCCAACCACGTAGTATCGAGGAGTGACTATAGCATTATTGAGGTAGTTATAAAAACTATTTTTTTCTTTTTTTTTTAAAAAAAAGTCGGGAACTGTCGGTTTAGGGCCGAATAGACAGTCCGTGCACTTCATGGCCGACCTGACTGTTAGATCTCAACGGTCAGATTGATCTACTCGGTCGATTTTAAAAATCTAACCATTGGATCAAACGGTTTTGGTTCCAGGTTTGAACCGGCTTGGTCAGGATTGTTAAAAAAAAAAAATGACTGTTAGATCTCAACGGTCAAATGATCAAGTGGTCAAATTTGTTTCCAATTTCAAAACCTACCTAGGCCGCCAGAAATCNCACCAGGCCTGTTTTCAATGTTTTTACTGGCCCATATAAAAGCATGGACCGTTTAAAGCCCGCGGTCAACCGTTCAAATCTGGTCCGAAAAAGTTCACTTCTGGGCCTGGCCGGTTCAGCGGACCAATCGTGGCCATGTCAAGGTGCAATTGTGTCGAGTAGTAGTGGTGAAGCCACCGCAACCTACGTCACTTTCCGATCCCTATTGTCCAATTCGCGTGCTTCAAAAGGTTTACCATTTTTATTCTTTCTTCTCGTCAAAACGACACCGTACTCGATTTTCTCTCTTTTCTCTCTTTTCCGGTCTCCCTCCATTTTCAGTAGAATTCTCGTCCTAGACTCACAGCAATCTCGAACCTTTTTCTGACTGGAATTCATTTCATAACATACTGTAGGACGTTCAACGCGGCGGCGGAAGAAATATGGAAAGCCGGTCGCGGCGGAGCTCGGCTCGATCCAAGGCGGATCTGTCCGCGTCACTGAGACGCGCTTGGTACCATTTGCGGCTCTCGGTCCGGGATCCGACTAGCGTGCGAACTTGGGATGCCATCGTGTTAACGGCGGCCAGCCCGGAGCAAGCCGAGCTCTACCACTGGCAGCTCGGCCGCGCCAAGCGGATGGGCCGCATTGCGGCGTCCACTGTCACTCTGGCTGTTCCTGATCCCCATGGCCAGCGCATCGGCTCCGGCGCTGCCACTCTCAATGCCATCTATGCTCTCGCCAAGCACTTGGAACAGCTAACGCCTATCGAATCACCTGTATGTGTTAGGATTCCGAGCTTTTGCGATTGCTTTTGATCATTTTGAGTACTGACTAGGTAGAGGTTGATGATCTTGAGTTGTCTAATTAGTGATAACGCATTGCTACTGGTTGAGTTGGGGGTTTGCTTTGCTTACTTTAAGTATTCGTAATTGGAGATTTGCCAAATAGATTGTGTGCATAGTGCTGAAATGACATTCAATTTTATTATTGATGCGGTAGAATTTTCTTCTTGAAGTGTTACTCTGTTGTGTGGCGCTGAAAATTGTCATGACTATAACCATGTGTGTATAGAAGTTGGCTGGTTTTTCCACCTTATTTGCCTGTAGTCTTCAATACTAATAAGTGAAAATATCTATTTTCATCCAGGTTGACCAGCCGAGGTTACAAAAATTACATACTGTTCTAAGTTTCCATTCCTCACAAATGTTATGATGAGATGAGAAAAATCTATGATTTTTAGTGAGCTTCACTTTTTCCATTAACAATTATATTACCAGTTTCACCGATAGTGTATAGTTCCTTGTTCAACTTTTGGTGGAAGCTAGACTTCAAGTATTTGTGATGTTGCAAGGTAGTTGGGTTCTGCCTACATTTGCGTTATAAACATGCATCTGGAAATCATGTGTTGTTTCCATGTGCCTGAAATCCACAGGACTCTGCACTTTATGTCGTTCCCGTCTTATGAATTGTTTGAAGTAAAATGATTAATTCACATTTCTGTACTTATAACTGCAACTTGCTACAGATTTATATGTAATCTGTAAGACGTGAGTAACTTCATTGATTCTTAAATTTCAACTTATTTCTTTGTTTTAGGATTAAATTAAATATACATGCCATAATTGCAATTTAGGATGACACTTTTGGCAACTGCATTTAGACCCTGGCTACTGCATTTAGGCCCTGTGTATGTCGACCTCAACAAGCATGCGTCTGGAAAAACTCTAGTTTGTATTTATTGATATTTTAATCTCTGTTAAATGATACAGTTTAAATCAGCATACTACCCATTTTGTTTGTTTGTGTATCAATAAATTTGTCTGTACTCTGTACTGTCACTGTAGGGAATCAATGATGAATCATTAGGGGATCAGATATGGGTGCAGTTAGCAGGGTGGAGTAAGAAGTAAAATTGAGCAGTGAACATACATCATGACATAATTTTAACTCTGATGGCTGATTAGATACAGCTCTAGAACTTAGAACTCATAAACTTAGGAAATGATTGCTTATTCTTCTTTCACCAAGTCATTGTTGGTGGATGCTATTCACGTAATTTTTTATCAGTTAGTTCATAATTTTTTTGCACTGCCTGTTATGATATGTTATCACTGATAAACAGGCAGTAGATTCAAGCAACTGCGACTCTATTTCGTCATTCTATGAAAGCTCAAATAATGGATTTTTCCTCATGCCACTTGTTGAATTACTCAGAAAAAAGCATATCTTACTACTTCATGCTGGAGGAGACTCTAAAAGGGTCCCGTGGGCTAATCCAATGGGTAAAGTTTTCCTTCCACTTCCATATATGGCAGCAGACGATCCTGATGGCCCCGTTCCGTTGCTCTTTGATCATATACTCGCTATTGCTTCTTGTGCCAGACAAGCATTTCAAAACGAAGGTTACTTTTTCTATACTGTTTGCTGTTATATATGTGGCTCGGGATCAATATTGACTTCATTGTTTGTCATACGCCCATGTGGTTACATTTGCATGATTTCCTAGGCTTGGGGTTACTCCGCATACAATTTTGTTTATGGGAAAGGTTACATAAATGAAGTTCTGGGCTACAGGTGGATTGTTCATCATGACTGGTGATGTCCTTCCATGTTTTGATGCTTTCAGCATTGTTCTTCCTGAGGATGCAGCCTCTATTGTTACCGTTCCTATAACTCTTGACATTGCTTCAAACCACGGGGTCATTGTGGCATCCAAATCTGAGTTGTCAAAAGATAAATCTTTGGTTTCTCTTGTTGAGAATTTGCTTCAGAAACCTAGCTTAGAGGATCTTGTTGACCACCAAGCCATTTTAGACGACGGCAGAACATTACTTGACACGGGAATAATAGCAGCCAAAGGTAAAGCATGGGAGGATCTTGTCATGCTTGCCTGTTCCAGCCAACCAATGATTTCAGAACTTCTGGACAGTAAGAAAGAGGCAAGTAAAACTCTGTTGCTTTCTTTCGTTTCTTGTATCTAATTTACGAATGTAATGTCTTGGTCCTCCACTGCCTTCAGCGTCTCTGAGCCCGGATTCTTATCTTCTTACGTAGATGAGTTTATATGAAGATTTGGTAGCAGCATGGGTGCCAGCTAAGCATGAATGGATGAAGTCACGCCCTTTGGGTGAAGAACTAGTCAAAGCATTGGGAAAGCAAAGAATGTTCAGTTACTGTGCATGTATGTAGAATGATGTTTTAGATGTATGCCTTGTTTATTACTGTTTAGACTTCTATAATTGTCGCCTAATAACCCGGGTGGGCTTTGTTTTATCTGGCGAATTTCTAAAAATCTTCCGGTCTTCTTTTGGCCAGATGATCTCTTATTCTTGCACTTTGGAACCTCGAGTGAAGTTCTGGACCACCTCAATGGATCTGGTTCCGGACTTGTTGGAAGGCGGCATCTCTGTTCAATTCCAGCAACCACAGTGTCTGATATTGCTGCCTCGGCTATAATTATTTCTAGCACAGTATCCCCTGGCATCTCTATTGGTGACGAGTCACTTGTGTACGATTCTTCGATTTCAACCAATGCCCAGATTGGTTCCCAGTCAATAGTTGTCGGTGTAAATGTGCCGAAAACCCTTGATGACGTGCCAGAGAAATCCTTCAGGTTCATACTTCCAGACCGCCATTGTCTGTGGGAGGTCCCCTTGTCAGGACATGGAGAGAGAGTTATTGTGTACTGCGGCCTCCATGATAATCCAAAGAGTCCACTCATGAACGGGACCTTTTGCGGAAAACCCTGGAAAAAGGTTTTAGGTGATTTAGGAATTCGAGATGATGATCTGTGGGGTGCAACAAGGGACAGCAACGACAAGTTCTTGTGGAATGCCAAATTATTTCCTGTTGTCTCATACTTCAATATGCTTCAACTGGCGACGTGGCTTATGGGGTTGAGTGACCAAGAAGACATACAACTCCTGCATTTATGGAGAAGGTCAAATAGGATTAGTTTAGAAGAGTTGCATAGATCAATCGACTTCTCAAAAATGTGGTTAAGTTCTACCAATCACCAAGCGGATCTCGCAGCAGGAGTTGTTGCTGCTTGCCTTAAGTTTGGCTTGCTCGGACGTAATTTATCTCAGTTGTGCCAGGAAATATTGCAGAAAGAAGGCACCGGAGTTGAAGTATGTAGAGAGTTTCTATCCATGTGTCCTGACCTTCAAGCTCAAAATTCTCAGATTCTCCCAAGAAGTAGGGTTCACCAAGTTCACCTTGATCTTCTACGAGCATGCGGTGAAGAACAGATGGCTGCCGAAATGGAGCACAAGGTGTGGGCTGCTGTTGCTGATGAAACGGCTTCAGCAGTGAGATACGGGTTCAAAGGTAATGTAGCTACTACCTCACTTTGACGATGTGAAATTGTGAATATTAATTTTTTCTCTAGTGGCCAACTTGAATGTTGATAAATATCTCTAGAAGGCCTTGAAATCACTATAGTTTCCTTAGTGTCATCTGTCCAAGTTTTGCATCGTTTTAGGTACTAGTAAACCATATTACTTAATTAGTATATTATTATTTTATTATTTTATTGTTGTCTTCCTGGTATGAGGTAAATATTCTCAATTCATCTGAAGAGACAAAAGTGATTCTTGGGATAAACAGAACAATGCTAGATTCTAGAATTCTCAAAAAGTGTAATCATATGAAAATTTTCATTATTGGAAGGTAAAATATTATATTTTTTTCAAAGATCATGTAAACAATGTGATCATACTCGAGGTCCTTTTTGAAAAAAAATAAGGTATAGGTGATTTTTTTTTTCTCAATAGAAAAGTAGTTTACAATGTGATTGTTTGATTAAGTGACACTTGATGAAGCTAATACTAACCAAACACTAACGTTTTCTAAATCATGGCAATGTTCTTCTGTTCTGCTTTCAGAAACTTTCTGCGAATCCTCTACTTCAACCACAAGTCCAGCTAGCACATCACATTGTACTTTCGACCAATCTCCCCACCCAAGGAAGGTGAAAGTCGAGTTACCCGTTCGAGTCGACTTTGTCGGTGGATGGAGTGACACCCCTCCATGGAGCTTGGAACGTTCTGGCTGCGTACTAAACATGGCAATAAAATTGAAAGGCTCTCTTCCTGTAGGCACAGTTATACAAACTACGAAAAACACCGGGCTTTTAATTAACGACGATTCTGAAAACGAGTTACACATCGACGATATTTCCTCTATCGCCCCTCCATTCAACGTAAACGACCCTTTTCGGCTCGTTAAATCCGCACTTCTTGTCACCGGCATTGTAAACCATACTTTTTTCCAATCGGCTGGCTTGAAAATCGAGACGTGGGCCAAAGTCCCGCGTGGTAGCGGTTTGGGGACCTCGAGCATCCTATCGGCAGCCGTTGTGAAGGCCCTGCTTCAGATTACCGATGGTGATGATG